TTCTCCTTTTACTGCAATTTATTTACTAAAGAAAAAAGGTAATTTTTCCTATAAAATTTTCTCCAGTTTGGATGTTGCTGATTATCCCCATGATGTCTCTTCTTCCCTGTATTTGCTACAAATGGGTAGTTAGACCTAGAGCAAAGATTGGCAAACTTCTTCTGTAAAGGGTCAGATAGTAAATATTTTCACATTTGCTCTGTCACAGCTATTCAAATGTGCCTGTAAGGCAAAAGCAATCACAGACAATATGTAAGCGAATGCAGGTGGTTGTGTTCCAATAAAGCCTTATTTACAAAAACAGGCAGCAGGTTAGATTGGCCTGAGGACTTTAGTTTGCCCACTTCTAATCTAGGGGCTTGATCAGATACAGATTCAAGCTTTTAGCAAGTATACTTCATAGACAGGCAAGTATACTTCCACAAAGAAGCATATAATCTGGCTGCACCTCTTTTTATGATGTTGGCAGTCACTGGTGATCACGTCTAAATCGATTATTTCATTAGAGGCTACAAAATGGCAATAATTTTTATTCCTTTTGCACTTATGAGCTGAAGCAGTTCCACGGTGAGAAATTCCACCTTCATTGATTTAGTTACCCCAGGATAGAATTCAGAGGAGAAAAGTGGAATAAACGTTTGATTCCTTCTTGTTTTAAATCATTTTCAAAACAATGAGTTTGTTACTTAGCGTCCTCCAAAAGTAAACAATGAGGGATTTTTCTTTTTACTATCATGAATTCTTAGGTTTAAACATGAGTTAATACTCACAATCCATTGTGGTTATTATTCTTATTGTGGCTCTAATTAGCCAATAAATGGCCAGCGGGAGCCTTTTCAAGTTGGCCCCCAAGCCCTTTGGACAGAACTTCAGTCAATCTTGATGGTGTCTTTGCTATGAGATCAGCTATGTCAAGAAATCCAGTCTACTCCCTCTCAGTTCCTGCTCTACAGCTGCAATGGGTCCTAGGAGAGCTCATTGCTGCTAGCTTACTTTCTGGACTATTGTAGTAAAAAATATCAGAAAACATGTATATTTTTAAAAGATAAGCTTTATCAAGAATTTATACTCATTAATATTGATAACTTCAATTCTAATTTGAATTAATATCTTCTACCTTGTGTCTGTTTCTCCTTTCTCCCATGCTGAAAGTCCTAGCTCCCAAAGACACCTATACGATTACTCAGATGCTTTATTCCCCACTGCGATTCTAGCCAAGGTTGAGCAGACTGAACTAAAGACCACCTTGGGTGAGTTATAAATAAGAAGCTTAATTTTTTAGAAAAGAGCTTTTCCATTTTATTTGACTCCTCTCTGTATCCTGCTGGATCTTAGGCCATTAATAAGTAGCCACAGTGATCCCATAATGACTCCTTCAAACTGGAGAGTCCTTGGGTGGAGAAGTTTCAGAGGGAAAGGTGGAAATCAAATGTATTTTATGCACTATTACCACTTACTGCTTCCGCAGCCTTGGTATGGGGTGATCATGTCAGTCAAAGGCTAATTGGCCACTCCTCTTTGATTGTACAGAGGATGAAACATCCATTTCTGAACAAAAATTTTCGCTAACAAGAGATCATACTGGAAAGGGGAAAAACACAGAGGTCACAGGCCATTCTCATTTAGGTTTAGACGGTAGCAGGAGGGCTTCTTTCTATATTCATATAGAAATATATGAATATATTATATCTATATATGCATATCAATAAAGAATAGAACTAATACAGAATATATTATAGAGTAGATGATAGCTATAGCTATGCATAACTATAGATATAGATAGATATAGATATAGATATCAATATAGAATTCTATATTCATCAAATATACACTAAGCACCTATATGTGCCATGTACTGTGCAAGACCCTGGGGAATCAGATGAGTAAGATACACTGCCTGCCTTTGGGGAAAAAAGAAATGTAAGGCAGATAAAAGCTATATAAAACACAATAATTTGCATGAAGAAGTAGTCAAAGCATAGGGAAAGGGAAGATGAATTCTAGACAGGGAAAATGAGGGAAGGTTTTTACAGAGGAGCTGGCTTCTCAGTTCAGTGGTGAAGAACAGAAAATATGTGAATATCCCAGGCTGAAGATTTCTATAGCACCTTGGAGGTGAGATCTGCCTGCCTGATCGGCGGGGAATACACTGTGATGGTACGAACCACCACAAATTTATAATGTCAGAGAAGGAGACCAAAGCATTCTTCGAAGGAGAATTGATTTTACTTCTTAACCAAGCTGAAAGTAAGGATGAATCGATGCCCCCTTTGTGCTCCCTCACCCATGCTCCCTGAACACCCTCAACCACCCCATCCATCCCTGCCTTTACTTCCCCAGACCAAGACCAGGAGGTAGGCGCTCTAATGAGAGACGCTGCCACCATATAGAGGAAGGCAGGCAAAGTTGTGGGGTAGGAAGCGGAGGGTACAATTTAACAAAAGGAAATCTCTTTTCTATCGGGAGAGAAAAGAAAGACGGCAAGGAAAGGATGCAAAACTGAAAACCCGAGTCATAAAAGAAAATGATTCACTTTAAGGATGTGCACTGATGGAAAATCACTGAGCAGGGGAAGCACCGCAGCCGCCTTTGTGCCTCAGGCGGTGTGCAGCTGGCATTTTCATCTCTTAAAGCTAGGATTTCTGTTAAAATACATCTCTCTTCAAGCTGGGTTATTCTGAATATCATTTTAATAAGAATATAAAGACCTAGCAACATGTAATCTTTTTGTGGGAGATTTGAACTTCTGCCTTTTTAAAATATATCTATTGGTATTCATGATACAATATAGAAATATAAAATAAATATCTGAGGTCCCCTCCATTTCTGTCTTGATCTCCCCTAGCTTGGTTTCTTGGCCTTATTTGCCAGCATGACCCATAAAAGAAATTTTGCTTTCTAATCTCTGATGAGGTATGGTTTATGTTTATGTTTTCTTTACCTGCCGTTTCGTTTTTTCTTTTTTCTTTTTCCCCCATCTCCTGTGTGTATGTGCACCATGGACGTAAGGCAACTAAGCAAAAACATACTGTCTGCATTCTTAACAAAGAATCCATTAAATTGCCTAACGAGTAAGGCAAAAGAAACCTTGAAGAACAAGGCCATTGGAAGCATGGCTGTGTCAAAATTTAAGTACATGATGAAACTTAAAAATTATATAAAATTGGAGTAGGACCGAGCATCTTTACCCAGGCGGGCCAGCATTGCTTGGGTCTTGGGTCTTTCAGAGACAGGTGAATGGGAGCTTGTAACTACCTCCAAGGCCTGTATTAAAATGGCTGCTGACCAGGACAAAGGGATTTCCTGTCACCAAGTTGTATTAAACAGGGGTAAACAATTTTCATTCTGTCTGGTTGAGTTGACCTCCTTGTGATTTAGTTTCTCTATGTATGAATAGAAATATTTACTAGCACCGGAAGCTGCCTAAAATGATAGAATGTCAAAGATGGATAGTCCATTCCACCCTCATAGGTGATAAAAATCATGGCCTCAGATGATTAAATCACTTGTTCAGAGTGGCAAAGTTCAACTTGGAGGCTTGTTGAAGAATATGCTAATAAAAGATTGAGCTAGGTTTCTCTATACACATATATATGTGTATATATATATTATATATTATCATATATATGCATACATAATATACAAACACATAAATATATAACTTTGTAATCCAATGTAAAATTGTATATATACATATATTATATGTATATGTATAATTCCATATATTATATATGTAATATATAATATATGGAATTATATAATTACATATATAATATATGTAAATAATAGTATTTATTCTTAGGAAAACATTCAATAATACAGAAAGAACTTTCTGTTAGTCTTCTGAGAACATTGGCTTCAGAAATAAAGGCAAAAAAATTAGAAGCAAAGACATATCCTTGATTTTACGTCTTAAGCAGTACTGTGGTCTGAATGTTTGTGTCCTCCAAATTCACATGTTGAAACCTAATCCCCAAGGCGATGGCATTAGGAGGTGGAACCTTTGGAGGGTGCTTACGCCATAAGGATGGAACCCTTATAAAAAGTACCTTTATAACAGAGGCCCGAGAGAGCTCTCTTGCCTCCTCCATGTAAAGATACAATAAGAAGTAAGTGGTCTACAACCCAGAAGAGAATCCTCTCCAGACCCAACCATGCTGGAACCCCGTTCATGCTGGCACCCGATTTTGGACTTCGGGCTTCCAAAAACTGTGAGCTATACATTTCTGTTGTTTATAAACACCCCAGTTTATGGTATTTTTGTTATAGCAGCCCAGATGGAATAAGACAAACAATGATAATATCCTTTAATAGAGGGTAGAGCTTAAAGGACAAAGCAAAGGAGGTTTAAAACTTAACTCTAATGATGTGTTTTTGTTAGCCAAAGAAGCATCCCTATATGTAGAATACCGTACCTTTTTAATTTCAGATTTCAAATTACAAGGGTTACTCTGCTGGCTGAAGAGGGACTTCTTGAATCTCTCTATAACCCTTCTTTTCAAATTGTGGTGCAAAGCTGGAGGAAGCTGCATAAAATGAGAAAACAATCATTATAAGCAAATTGTTAATGCTGCACAGCCGACTCCTGGGAAGCATTTACTGAGGGTCAGTGTAACAATATTCGCTCAATAGGACTAAATAAGAATTTAAATTCTACTCCATATAGCATGACTTGATGTTATAATTTTTCATTCTATCATCCAGAAAAAAATATATTACACTGCTCTCTTTCAAAAGGCTGCTTAATTTATCTTATTGTTCTTTCATTTTATTGATACCGTTTTTCACGTAACAACTAAATGATATTAATTATATGACATTAATTGCACATATAATTATATTAATTGCACATATAAACTGATTTTTGTAAAGAAAAGACGATGGGAAGGATGCATTCTCTCAGATGTTTAGGTGTTTGGGTCATGCCCGCAAGCTAAACATTTGTGTCATGTTTTTGTCGTGCCCACAAGATAAAACCATGCTAAACAATCTAACTATGGCCGTTGTCCAGAAGTAGCTGATATTCTGGACCAGGAAGCACATATCTGCATTAGTACATAGTCAGATGCCTGCGGATGAGCACTCCTAAATATACAGCTGGAGAAAAATCAGTTTGTGGGGACCAATCTTATCAAGAAGAAGGAGAGAATTAATCAATATATATTAGGGCAAGGCCAGGATGAGTTAGATTTAATAAGTAGTAGGAAGTTACTGCAGAATCTTAGAAAATATGGTGATTAGATAAAAATAGGAATTGAAAAAATTGATTTTGTAGTTGGTACTCTGCAGGTTGGATTTATACAAGGAAACCAAAGGTTGTAAAAATCACACAGAGGGATAAAGTGAAGTTTGGGAGAAAGACAACAGAGAAAATAAATAGGGTCAAGATGATAAGGAGTCTCAGAGTGGAAATGAGGGTTGCTTTGTTTAAAATATAGAGAGGACTTGGAAGGAGAGCAAAAAGGAACCAGTAAGGAAAAAAAAAAAAAAAAAGGCTAAATGGGAAGGAAAATGTGTTAGTAGGTACTTTCAAGATTTAAAAAAAAAAAAATAGAGTTCAAAGCTCAGATCGAAAGAAAGAGAAATTGAGTAGACAATTATTACCCCACCTAACTCCACTTTTCTATCCTCTTACTGTTTTGGTTTGGTGCCATGTGACTACTTACAGCCAATAAAAATGATGTGTGCCGCTCTGAGAAAGAGGCCATTCAAAGCCAGTGTTCTTCCTCATTCGTGCCCTCCCGTGGGGCAAGGAGCTTGGAGTCCGCCTGTTTCAGATGGCAGAGCCACAAGATGGAGGACAGCCACCCGACTATCCAACTTTAGCCCAGTGAGAAATAAACTTCTATTGTGTTCAGGGTGTATCTGTTAGTACAGTATAACTCACCATATCTTGACTAATACAAGAAACACCTATTACTCAAGTTTCATTTCATGAAATGGGGATATATAAAAGGCAATAGTAGAGCAATACACCGAGTCTACGTGGGCTCACAACTGCTGATTTTATAGCAAAGAAAAACTGTTCATCAGCCCCAACACAATAGAATACAGAACCCATTATGAAGCACTGTAATGGTATAAAATAACAATGCACAATCAAAAAAAGTTTTTAAAATGTTAGCCAGTCCTTTGACTTTGCTTGAGCTAAAGCAAGTTTAATTACAGAAGTAAAACGAGAGATTCTGAAGTCTATCAATGTACTTTGAAAGGTTTTGTGGGTTGACAGCACAGAACCCTACTGATCTCTTTTTACATCAATATCGATCCAATATGATCCAGATGTGTTTACTATCTCCTAACCCCAGCCATAAGTCATAATTAATGCCATCATTTCACATGGAATGAAAAGAGGAAATTAAGAAATATGGAGAGAGACAGAGACAGAGAGATTTCTCAGCATTAATGTGCAAATAGTGGAAGACAGATGAGAAAGAAAATGAGTGTATTAAAATACGTGTGTGCGAGAGATTAGCAAATTTAACTTAGAGTAGGACCAGACAATGAAGTGGAGGGACATGTGCAAGTGGGTGATGGGTTAGGGTACAGAAGGGATGGGAAAGTGCCTGGAGATACCTTTTTCGATTTGATAATTCCCTATGGTTACAGAAGTTGCCACTTCCCTAAATCGAACACCAGAGGGCAGTGTTGGCCAAGGACCATCTAGTTGTTGCTGAGCATGATTGCAACTGTCAAAGAGAAAGGCAGCAAGCCTTTTCTCACCTACCTAATTGTCCACTATGGCAAACTTTTGAAGATACGAAGTATCGGTGTGTCCATACATTCCTTCAGAGGTGACTTACCCCAGTATCAGCAGCTATTGGTATTAGATAACCAATTCAGATATTCTTAAAATTCTTGGTATTCACTTAACTTGATAGGCCTCTAGTTAATTTACAATATGTTTACTGAATTGATCCTCACAAAAACTTTCTTGAGTAAGTTAACATTCTGTCAACTTAAGGGTCGTACACAGGACAGTATTAGAAAGCTACTGTATCTAATTAGAATGTCACTATGGACAGCACCCCGTCTTTAAAGTTTTCATGGAAGAATTTAAAATTTTGCACAGAATGATGATTCATGCATAGTTTAACTGCATATGATATAAGTATAAAAAAATATAAAAACTATAATACTAAGAATATTAATACCTAGGATTTGTAGATGCCAGACACTATAGTGACTCCTTTATATGTAGTATGCCACCTTTTCCCCTACAACAAATTTATAAAGCTGGTATAATTTTACAGGTGAGAAAATCAGAGCTTAAAGACATCATGTAACATCAAGGATACTTTCTGAGTTTGTGAGTCTTTTAGCACAACTATTATTCTAGAGCAAACACCACCACCACTAGCATTACTATAGTACAGCACTTTATATTTTATGAATATTTCACATACTTTATTTTCTTTATCACAATAGTCCCATAAGCAGCCTGAATTCTGCTGATAAAGAAAGTGATTCTAGAAAAGATAATGACTCTCTCAACATCACATCTAAAAGCTTGATTTTTGTTGTTTTTTATAATACCAAAGTAACAGAACAAAAAGTAAAATCTGATATGTATGTTTTATAGTATGTTTTCTCAAACTTGAATAATATATGAATTCTTTCTAAAGAACAACATTCTCTAGTATCTCCAAGAATACATTGGCAGACCATTAGTTGTCATGGGGCTCTGTTTGATAGTAACTTAGTATCTTTTTTATAATCATAATAAAAAATATATATATTTTGACATATTACTGCTTAAGAGATTTTCCTAAATGCTAAAGTAAAATGTTCAAAGCTTATCATCAAAATAAATATACAAAAGGCAAAACTTCTCTTAGAATTTACAAATTCTAAAAACCCAAGTCCACTTAAGAAACACAGCTTTACCCTAAATTCTATTTAATCTGTCACCCTTGCCATTAGGAACCAGGAGATTGAGATAAGAGAGGTATGGATAGTTCTATTTTTATCCATCACCACTGCTGAAAAAAATGGTATGTTTCACTGATGACAGTCGGTAGTATAACTTTCATCTGAGGACAGCACACTGCTATTCCCAACCACATATTTTTGTTCTGTTGGCAACAACTGTGGTTGTTAAGAAGTGGCGTCTGAAGGAGCTCCAATCAAACTGCCTGTCTGTTCTCTAGGAAACAGATGTTTAATTTTTTAAGGTTGCTATATGCTGATTTTCAAAGCATTTATTTAACAAAATAATCAGATCCTAAGTATAATCTAAAGCTAAAGTCGGCTACACAGGTCTTACCTAACCAATAACACATAAAAACTCATACTCCAAGGTAACTTATATACTTTGGTCATCTGATATGTCCAAAGACTGATTTTGGTTTCCAGCAATAGAAAGGAATCACTGATTTTATTCTCAATTTGCTGGTCTTAAGATTACCATCTTGGTTTTGATAAAAACAGATGTCAAATCAGTGAAGGCAGGGTAAAGATTTTAACATCCTGCCTTTTAAAATGCTTGCTTTTAGACGATTTCTACAGATCTGTCTCCATGGAAACTGGATAGAAAAGGCCACCAGCAGCCAAAAGTAAGCAGTTTCCCCCGTAAGGTCATCTGTTGGTTATGAGGAAGGATCTGGCCCTGCAAATCAGGTCAGCTGCTACAGCATAAGTCTGTGAGAGATTGACTAGTAAATAAATACGTGAACAGGAAAGGTTTTCGTTAATTTGCTTGTTTTGTCAACTTGGTTTTACTTTTAGCAGTTTTCCTTTACAGTTAACAGAGAGAGAATACTGATCTTGGTCTTTAACCTACAGCAAATACACTGGTTTAATGTTTAGACATTAAATGTTTGCATTTCTCTCCTGTATTTGAAAGGCACTGACTTTGGTTAGCACTATAATTTAAAGTTCCCCAAAGAGGAATCATTCTTTACTATGTGCAAAGTCATCAACTTTAAAGTATTCTGGAAATACATTTTAAAAACTGCAATAGTTATACATGAACTTGTAGCAAGGAATTCCATCTTGCCAAAAACTGTGAAGTCATTTGTTATGCTGCCAGTGTAAGAGCATAATAGTAAGACATTCATAATAGTTTCATTCCTACTTTAAAATACTTTGAAATCCAATAAAAAAAATGGAATACATCCATTAAGAAGCTTTTTTATTATATAAAACTTAGCAAGACAGGCATACGAACACTATATTTAAATGTGAAAGGATATTTTCTCTCAATTTAGTAATCATTGAGGTAACCAATAAGCTATTTCCATAACACTAGAGTTAAGAATACTTTCCCCATAGTTCTATATCAGTATTTAAATGGAACTGCAATTTTGAATATAATATCTTTATTCAGTAGAGATATGGCAGATTATATTTTGGTTTATTAAGCAAGTTTCTCTCCTCTACCCCCATATTTCCTTGTATTCCTTCACCCTCTTTCACTTAACCAGGAAAAAAAAATTCTGTGTGATTGCCTAAGAGAATAGCTGACAGCAGAAAATGAAAATGTGATCTATTTAAGACTCTCGAGTCTCAGAAAGCTAGCCCTCAGAGTGACAGCATGCATGATCCCATGCCATTTTATATAAGGGATTAGAGCATCCAAGGATTTTGGTATCTACCAGGGGTCATGAAACCAATCCCCTGTGGATGCCAAGGGACTGTGGTTAGGTTTTGGCGGGGAGGGGGGTCAAAAGTGTTACATGAATTTTCGACTACACGGGATGACAGTGCCCTTAATCCCTGCATTGTTCAAGGGTCCACTGTCGGTCCTCAGCCCACTACAGTATTCATCAATCTGTATAACAGAAAATAAACTCTAGGTCCAGTAGACAAAAACATGAGTTGAGTTGCTGTTGCCACAGTGAAGAATCACAGCCTCTCACACAGTTTCTAGACTTAAGTCAATTCAAAGATCCAAAGCTGCTTAATGAGTGGGAAAGCTGGGGCCCCTTGAGAAAAGGCCTTGAAACACTATTAGGGACATACTGTAAACTTATCCCCAAGACTTCCCTAAAGAAACCAGCAGCCATTTCCTAGAGTGACTATTTACTGAGGGGGAGGAAGTACACAGCCTTTCTGGACCCTGGTTGTAAACTAACACTTATTCCTAGAGTTTTATAATGTCACTGGGACACACTAATCGAAATGGTCTTTTCAACCCAGCGTCCCCAGGATTTGTGAGTGGACACTACTTTCCTCTTCCTTTCTTGTAGTGAAGCTGCTTCAAAGGCCCAGCTCTGTCCCCACTTTCACCCCCACACTGAAGGCCCATTTACATTAAAGTTTAGTTTTGGTTGGGAACTAACAATAGAAGCAGATTTGGGGGTTACAGGAAAAATTTGACATGTTTGCTTTTTTTACCCTACTACCTCCCTAGTTCTGCTAAGCCGATGTGTCCCCAAATATATGTAGTTGGGAGGATAAGAACAAGTATTCACTCTAGTTGAAAATTCCACAGAGGAGTTCTTAACCAATATTAGCAGCAAACTTGTCTTTAAGATGAAAAGGAAATACTGACCTGCGTGATGTAGATGACTTTGTGCAGTTGAATTAAGATCTGCTGAATAGGATCACTGATCTGACGTACTTTCCTCTGGGACACAGCAATCCCTGCAGATGCTGTGGATGATAAAGTTTGCAGTTAATCGAGACTCTGGTTTTCTCTCTCAAAAGTGATGCTAGTGGAAAATGGGGTAAAATACTGAAAAAAAAATAAGCAAAGACCCTCATTCTACCAATGAGACATTATGCAGGGACCCCGTAACACTTCAATATTTTATAATATGCAATGCATGATTCCTTCCCTTTACTTTTCAGATTTCTAACTAACATAATGATGTTATCTGTCATAACATCTGAAAGACTTCTCTCTTGGAATTTTTGTCTGCAATTATATATCAGGCTGCCAACAGGAGTCACTGGTGCCTTGGATACAGTGGCCATTGAAAAAGCTGGGCTTTAGATACATGCAGTTAAAAGCCTATCATGCTTTTAAGTTTTAAATTCATTTAATATTTTAAAACTAATTTTATTAAAACTACTAAATGTAAACACTGAATACACAATCTTACAGAACAAGAAAAAAACTAAAAATATAACAGGCTGCCACCAGGAGTCACTGGTGCCTTGGATACGGTGGCCATTGAAAAAGCTGGGCTTTAGATACGTGCAGTTAAAAGCCTATCATGCTTTTAAGTTTTAAATTCATTTAATATTTTAAAACTAATTTTATTAAAACTACTAAATGTAAACACTAAATACACAATCTTACAGAACAAGAAAAAAACTAAAAATATAAAAAATTCTAATGAACAAAAGTTACTTAGAATTGAGTAATTTTCAAACCCTTGGTTATTACAAATTGTAATTTCACCTGGATTTCGGTCTAGGTCTAAACAAGACATATTTATAATTTATTCTGAATTCTCATCATAGAGCCACATCACTTTCACAGTTTTAGGCTAGCTTGGTGTCAAATATTTCTTTATGGATATCTTTCTGAGTTCATTGAAAAATTCACACAAGAAATAATTTAGTTCTCATTCATATGTATTTAATACTTTGTTTAAATATTTAAAATGTAAAGGATCTATCTTTCTTAGGCACTGTGTCTAATTCCTTTTGAGCATCAATTACTTGACCATTAAGATGAGGTTTTATAAATTCCTCATAAAGTAAAAATATGAAGGTAAAGCAGAACAAATGAAGATATCTCTAAAATAGAAAATAGAGATCTGGAGGTATCGGCTCCAGCCTTAGAGGTGGCCGAGTATACACCTGTCATATTTTCTACAGTGGTGCTTCTTGCAGAAATAATTCTTAAAATGCAACCATTTGTGTGTCTAGACCCAACCAAAAACTAGAGACCATGTGACATGGCCAAGCTGATGCTGCAACAGGAACATTTTCTGAAACTAAAGACCTTGGTTTTTGGTCACTTTTATGTTACCTATTTTATGTTTTTGGTACGTGGACTTAACATTTACAGGGAATGAGTTAAAGTCTCACAGCACGGCAGAGCGTTCTTAGATTTGTGATGACATTTTGAGTGGGATGTCACACGGGTTTGACTCTACCTTGCCACAAGAATGTGCTCATCTGTGGCCCTAGATACAAAAACAGAGATAGTTAGCTAGAATGCCTGTCTTCTGAATTAGTCAATTATGTAATGTAACTTAAAGTTGTTTGTCTTAAGACCCTTTAACCACGCTCTCTCAATCCCAGTACAGTCTTGACTTTTGAAAATAGTTTTGATCGCTTACTCTCTAAAAAATAAATTTAAAAACGTTTAACTACGCTTGTCCGTTGTAAAACAAGCAAACAAACATAAAAATAACCTAAATATTACAGCAGAGGCTGGCGGCTCCCTGGAACCACTGCCCATCAGCCTCCTCCCCAGAAGTAACCTCTGATATCAGCTTGGTGTGTTGCTGTCCAGTCACTTTTCTATCCATTTACATGTATAAGTGTGAACTCCAGAGCAGTATTTTTTAAACTGTGGTTGAGTCCTGAAATCAGTTTAATGCGTCATGAACAGCATTTGAAAAATGGGATGGAATGAAATAGAGTAGAATAGAAAAAATGTCAGAGTGCACAGTATGTAGTAAGAAAATCCACTCATCCGAGACATAAAATATGTTTCTTAAAATGTGAAGACCATTTCCAAAAGAGTTTGAAAGCTACTATCATAGAAAATCTATAGTATTACCTCATGTTTTCTTTTTCTCTTTTTAAATAAATGATGACACATCGTAAGGCTATTTTACAATTGTTTTCCTCAGTTTATCATGGAGATTCTTTTTTTTTTTTTTTGCACACACACATAGTTCTAGCTCATTCTTTATAACCACTCTTGAACAGAACTTACTACGTGTTCTGTATGCATTAGAATTTACTTAGCCACTTCTGTCTTAATAGGCGCTTAGTTTACTTTCATTTTTTCATAATTGTAAATGATGCTCGGTGAGTATACACATGCATGCTTTGTTGTGCGTAAGTATAAGAGGTCTTTTAGGGTAGACAGGAAAAATTAAATACCAGCAGGGCCCTCGGATGTTCATACTTCTTATTCTAATAAAAAGATTTTAAAGTGGCTGAATCAATTTGCCCTCTGACCAAAAGAGAATCCATTTTTCTAAACTTTGATCAACACTATATATACTTATACTTATATACTTATCAAACTTTTCAATTTTTCAATCTGATTTTGTTTTATTTTTCATTCATCTGAAGTCTGGTGAAGTTATTGTACTTCTTTGGTAAATTTCCTGTTTGCGTCCCATGCTTCTTTCTCCTTATTGATTTGTAGGTGCTCATTAGGCAGCCCGAATACTTATCCTTTTATTGCATTTTATATGTTAAAAGTATTTTCACCTAATCTGTTACTTCTCCTCAATGTAAAGGGCATTTCCCATCCTCCACAGCTAGGCTAATGGTAATTTTTAGTCTCAGGCACCACCAGAACACTCGCTCAGGTACCTGCTGCTGCTGTATCATGGAGAGATAGGATTCCATGATCAGTTCGGCACTCCTGAAGTGCTCTGAAAAAAGTTACTGAGATGTGAATAATTACATAAGTTAGTATTGGGGAGGAAAAAGAGATTCAAAACTGGCAATGATTGGGAGGGATTCTGGCTGTAACATTTGCAAACCCTCTTGATTTCTTGAACAATTTCAGCTAACCCTGGGTATAGGAACGATTATTTCTTCTTATGTGCCTGATCAAATCCTTACAATTATTTATATTCCTCCGCCCCAAAATGTATATTTATTTAGCCCTTAACAATTTTAGTAAAACAAAACTGATAAAAATCCAAATAGATATCTTTTAATTTTTATTTCTTTTAACTACCAAGTTCATGGCAAGTGTTAGATATATAATTTTGAGTTTTAAATTATTTTTGCTTGATAAATATTTCAGATTAGCATACTGAAAATACTATGCATCCTAACTTCACACACACAAAAAGCATCACGTATTTACACTGACAATTTTGTCCTAAGGATAATTTTATTAAAACAATTTTCCCTCAAAAAGACATCACAGGAGCTGATCATATTTCAATGTCAGTCATACGTAGTACACTCATGATTCATATTTATATGGTTCCTACTACAAAAGAAAGATAGACAGTATTTTGGTCTTATTAAAATGTAAATATAATCTAAGTTTCAAATTAGAACACTTTGTATTTCTTTAATAGTTTTAAATGAATTTAATTATTGTTTTAAAACTTAGAAGGAAACTACAAAATTTCCTGCAAGAGGCTATTTACTTAAAAGTGTCAAAAAATAATTATTTTTGCTTACTTACTCTGTGGCATTAAACAGCTATTCTTCCCCTCAAGGTGGTGTGGAGGAAGATCAGGGGGAGGCCAGAGTTTTTTAAGCAGGAATTTAGGTGAGACTCTGGGAAAGGTTTTACACATTTAGCCTCATCTAATCCTCACAACCATTCTGAAGGGTAGTTTTTTTTAAATCCTATCTTACAGATAAGGAGACTGAGATTAAGGAAATTGCCCAAAAAAGATCACAGAGCAAGTGAATGCTGGGACATGAAACCAAGTGGGCCCTAAAACACTGCACTGACACTCTAGACAAGATTTGAGGGGCCTCCGGTTCTTCTCTAACTCATCACTAGGAGTCTGCGAAATCATGGACGATTCCTCTGGTTACCTCAAATATAGAATAATGTCTACACTCCTTCCTAAGCCTGAAATATTATTTCTCTTCTTAAAAGGGGTGCTATTTTTAACATGCTGGTCTACCTATGCTTTCGAACATGTAACATATTTAATATTTTTGGAAATTATGTACATATATGCTTTATTATTCTGCTTTATCTCATGGCACATTGTAATACCAAGTTATCCTTGTGCTTTGAGACTTGATTTACATTATATATCCAGTCTACTAAAACTATAATTCACAATGCAAGTTCTGTAGCCATTGATTACTATTAATGGATCGAAAGATGGATTATACTGTATTTCCCCAGTTGACCGAGATATAGCATCAACCTACTACTTTTCTAAATTCTCTCTGCTAAGAGTAAGGAATGTTTGAACAATGGAGAAGAAAAAATTTCGGGCCAGAGCTCCCTGAAGAAGTGAAAACTATTTTCCCTTTATGAATGGAACTAAAACATACATGGGCTTCTCTCCATTGGACCAACTTCCCTGTTGAAAGACAATACAACCTTTTAAATTTAAGTATGGTGAACAGATTCACTCTCACCTCTTTCCTGTACTTTCAAGTAAAATGAACGAAGTTTCTGAATTGTAGTTCAAATCTACAAATGTTCAGCAATCGATCCCTGTGCCCAGTGGTGTGTAAGGTGCCAAAAGTTAGCTAAAGGATGCTGCATTCACAAGAGGTTCATGGGAGGCCCATCCAGAGAATCACAGGATGGCAGGAATCTGCACCAAAGCCTCGGCTCCATTCACCTCATGAGTGATCAGGCTCCTTTCACTCCCCTTTCATTTGAATCTTCGGATATGAGCTAAAGGCTAAAGGAGCAAGGCTACTTTGAAACTCTTCTCTCTAGAATTCTGGCAGGCTTACCTTTACATAAGGCACCTTACATTCTGTTCAGGCCATGTGTGTGTATGTGTGTATCC